ACCCCTGCTCTTTAAACAGAGCAGAAGTTCACTTTTTTCTGTAATAAAAGCTGAAAAAAAGCCAGCCAGGTCTGGCATCAGCACAGGCACCAGATCCACTCCCACTTGATAAGAAGTGAGCAAACAGGCTCAGATAAGCTCAAACCCTCAGAAATCAGACCCTGTCTGTCCTTATTTGGTGCATCCGTCTGTCCCATATCCACACCAGGGTTGATTTTGGGTTTATTAGGTGGTTGTCTTGGCCCCAGTTCCTTCCTGTGACATGCACTGGGCACCCTGCCAGCCTCCTACCCATGTGCCCCCGGGAATAGGAGAGGCTGAAGGCAATGGAGAAAGGCTGGGAAGGGGAACAGATCGCCAGACACCAGGCTGGAGCCCTCAGACCCTCACCTTCCCCCAGTGCCACCACACTGCCGACACTAGACTTCAGGAGAGTCTATCTCATCTTGCCTTGAAGACATCTCCTGTTGGAATCGTAATTATCTCACTAGGCAGAGTGCTCTGTTGTCTGATGTCCTTCTGATATGTTGCCATCTCATCACAGGGGCTCCATACTGTTGTCCCCTATCACAAAAGTTTCAGATCTTCTTGGTGTTTCTTGTGAGCAGCTCCTCAGAGCACTGAGTCTTTCCTCTTCACAAAGCAGCCACCTGACTCCAGCTCCCTTCTCACCCAGCCACCCCTCTCTTTTATAGCACTGTGCTTCTCACTGGTCACAGCTGTGGCCTGGTAAAGTCACGCCTGTTCCTAACCCTTGGTGATTGGCCCAGCTGCAACTCCTTAGGGGTAAGATTACTTTCTACACTATCTTTATTTTCTTATATTCTACCCCCTACGCTGGTGGGCATTTTTTCCATGCAATGTGAAGTCAGGTGGGCTTCAGTTATTTATTCCTCTTTCTCTGTTTGTGGTAGCCAGCATTAGAAGTCACTTTTTTCTTCCACTCAAGTTGCCCACCCAGTAGCTGTTGTGATCCACCCCAGTGTATCGATGTGGGGAGAAAAGTGAATTTGTAACTGCTGTTTTCCAGGCTTTTGCAGCTGCACATCTTTTATTCAAAGAAGAAAACTTCCAAGTTTCGAAACTGTAGAAAGGACTGCATATGAAAATGGAGGCAAGACTTTCAAATCTGTAAAGGGAGGAGGTTTTGGACATGTGGACAACAGCCTTCAAAATAAAGTGCACTCACATACTTTCATAAACGATTCAACAGCCATCTCAAAGTTACACAAGCTGAAATGTCTGAAAAAATTACTAGAGGAAAACAGAGTAAGAAAGAGAACATGAAATATCTCTTCTTTCCCAAATAATTCCTGAGGTTTCAAGATAATGCTGTTAGAGACCTCAAAAGTAAGCAGGAATGCCCTAAAATGAATAGGAAATTTTATAACTTACCAATGACGAGATTTCAAAGCCAAAGTAATCTGATTAAATTATCTGAATCCACCTGGCATCCTCCCATATCACTCTGCATCAGCTACAATTTCTTAATAGTACAAGCTATGAGGAACAAAAATAATGCACCACAATGGCACCCAGTTCTCTGAAATACAATTAAACTTTCATTAGTCAAATTATCCCATAAGAATAATAACTTTTGGATGAGCACAGTCATATTCTTTCATGTTTTTTATAAGCCTGATCTAAAATACCTTACATGGTAAAAAAAAAAAATTATAGAGAGAGCAAGAAAACCCCCAAATACAGTGGTTATGAAAATCAGACTTTTCTTGAGGATGTGAGAAGGGGAAGGGAAATTACCTATAAAGAGTGTTGGGAAATTCAGCACCTTGGCTTCAGATTGGGTGGTTTAAGCAACCATCGAAGCAAAAAAGTGGCTCACTTGCCTTTCTTTTCTTCTCCCCTTTTCCTTTTTTAAAATTTTTGTTTTTATTTTGATAAAATCCCGCGCAGTTTAAAGGGAATGAGCACTCCTACATGCTGGTGTACTGGAAACCTCTGACACGAGAACAGAACTGTTTCCATAGTTCAGGCCTGATCTCTCCACATGCCCCTGATCCCAATGAGAAGGGGTTTGCTGAGGATGCTGCCTGGCTTGTCAGAAGCTGGTATCTGGCACAGCAGAAACCAGATCTTCCTCTGAAATCCCCAGCCACAGGGTTCCCACTGCACGAGGCAGCTCCCCTCGTGCTCCTGTGGGAAGGACAGAGCTCAGTGCCTCCTGCCACAAGACAGGCGCTGGGTGGGGGTTCAGCTCCAGCCAGCCTGCTCCTCTTTCATGCCTTTAATAAATCCCAATAAACTAGATTTGCCCTGGAACTTGGAAGTTCTACTTATTTTTGGATGCTTTACATTGTTTCAGCAGCAGCTGAAGGCACCTGTCATGGATGGATTGCACAGACTCTTTCATGGTATTGATGCAGTGATCCTCCAAGAAAAATATATAGCAAACACACCATGCCACTGAACAAAATTAACAAAAAAATAAGGGTGTCTAGCCTTGGTGTGGGAAAACATCAGGAATGAAATGTAGAACTACACCAGGTGTTTGTGAGTGCTGTAAAAGATGCAACATGCTCATGGTGTGGAGGGATAGAATGTAAGGAAACAAAGATAGTGCAGAAGGTAATCTCACACCTGAGGAGCTGCAGCTGTACTAATCCCCAAAGATTAGGAACAGGCCTGCCCTTAACAGGCCACAGCTGTGTCCAATGAGGATGAGTGCTATAAAAGAGTGGGTTAGCTGGGTGGGGAGTGCTGGAGTTTGTGGGCTGTGCTGTCAAGAAGGGGTCAGCGCTGTGAGGAGCTACACATGAGAACGAAGGGATGGGAGCTTTTGCAATGAGATGACAACTCATGGGAGCTGGGAAATAATTTACTCATCCAGGATATTTCCTGCCACATTTAAGGACCTGAAACACATTCTTAGCTAAGCAATGAGGGAAATAGTGGAGGTAGTACTTATGAGAGGACTATTTTTTCCCAGCCCAAGCTGTTGGGGTGGAATTGGGGTGCCCCTCAGTGCATCCAACTGTACTGGAGGCATCTGTGAGATTCCTCCTTGCCTACACACCTGAAAAGACTCATGGATCCTCCATTTCCAGTATTTATTCAGACATGAAGGGGTTTTTTTCTCTCTCAAGGCTCATATCTGCCCTCCTTTTTTTGTGCGCAGTTGCAGTCCTTTAGGAGTACGTGACAACTGCGTACAAGGCAGGCAAGAAAAGGTCTGAGCCTGACATCAGAATCCATCAGACTGCACAGAACATGTCAGTTGCTCTCTAACCCCCAGAGAACCCAACATGGTCCTGTTTGTCTCCCAAGAAGCCTGGAATCCTACTCCTCTTGCATGTGACTCCAAGGAGCCCCAATCCAATGTAAGCAAGTCAGGCTTTAGTTCCACATAAGCAGCAGGTGAGTCCAGCTTTGCCACAGCTGCCAGGGCGGCTCTAGAATTTCCTCTTGAACATTCCCATTCTGCCTGCAAAATACTTATGGCACATTTCTGCATGGATAGGAAAGGTAGTTACTTTAATTAAATATCAAAGGTCCTATTATTTTGCAATGCAAAGAAAAGTCAAAATATCTAAGACCTAAAACATCATTTCTTCCTCCTGACAGAGGCAGAGTACCATGGACTTCAGGACTCCAGCATTAACTCTGGTAGCTAACAACTGCTCAATGTCACTTCCATAAACCTTCCTGGAACAAATCATACACAATTTTGTAAGTACTTGGGAGAAAAAAGAGATTATTAGCAGCTAGCATGCACCAAACTGCATTGAGTTCTGTCAGACCAATCTAAATTTTTTTTCATTACAAGTTAGTGGGAGAAACAGTAAATGTCATATATCTTAGCTTTTCACATTTGGGAAAGTATTGTGTAGATTAAATTAGTTGGGGTGGTTGTAAAAGTGTCTGGGAAATCACAGCTGGAGAGGAGTTCTCAGTGCCACAGCCTCATCTCCCATGCTGAAGGATGCTCAGGCAGTGGTCTATTCCAAGTCTGATGGCACTTCACATTTTCAGTAACAATCTGGGAACAGAAAATAAGGGATTTTTGCTAGTGACATGTGAAGCTAGAAGAGGTTGCATTTAGGTTAATGCATAGACTAAGAATTTTTAAGAAGTAACAATTTAAAAAATATCCTGACTCACACTTGACTGGTCAAATACAAAATTCTGTGTTGCACAGCACAAACACACCAGGCAATTATCAGGTCAGGAGGAGTTTTGGGGACGTGGGCTAACACAGCTCAAGAATATCTTGTTGCAGTAAAAAGGGCAAGTCTTGTACTGGATGTATGAACATGTGTCCCAGTGTGGAAACTCAAGGTAACTCTGCACTGCTCCACCTGATGGTCCTCTCCCAAAGCCATCAGAGGGACTGAACTGCACAATGTGGGCAAGAGTACTGCAAAGACAAGCTGTAGGATGGATGAATAAAAGGGCAGTTAGAGAAGGGTAGTCAGGTCTAGCAGGAAATTATTTAACGGTAAAATTGAGAAATTGGGCCAAAGGGAATGGAAGGATTTTAAAAGTGAGTATAAGGAAACACTGGAGAAGACTAAGAAAGCTGTGGTTTCTCCATCACTGAAGGTCCCTACCAATGACAGGGGGGGTAGCCACCTCCCAGGAATGATGTTGCTCTTGCGCAGGAGATGGACCAGAGACCTTTACCCCACAGAGCAGGTGCATGTCCTGGGAAAGGCAGCATTTCAGAGAGGTCACTGCATGAAGCCACAGTGTGGGTTCAAGGGAATCAGGATGCCAGTCTTAGAAACGTGGTAGAAGCGCTCCATCTCTGCCTTCAGATGTGCTGCAGATGCAGCCTGCTGCAGCTGCATGTTCCATAGATGGACCACCTCCAGAAGATAGCTGCTGATGGAGAAGGGCTGTCAGCAGGACAAAGAAAAGCAGTGGGTAATCTCCAGGGAAGCAGATAAGTGGTTCACCTCCCCCAGAATGTAAAGTTGCGCAGGATTGTGATGTCCCATAGAGCAGTGTCAACAGTGACTCTGAAGTTCTTGCCTGTCAGCACAAAGGCTGGATGATTCAACTACAGACCAGAGGCACCACAAGAGTTTGGTGATGCCAAATCTGACCGCGCAGAGTGGGGCTGAGGCTCCCCAGGCAGGGATAAAACAAGGGTTGATGTCTCTCCAACTCAGCTGCAGACCTGCTGGGCAAAGATTTTCACCATAACAAGGTTTTTATTGTGCAGCTAATCACTGCATTTCACTACTTCTCAGCGCAGATCCAGGGGCAATGTCTGCAGGCCAGTGAAGATAGGATTGGCTCTACATCTGGATTGGGGATGGTCACCTGCAGCCGCCTCTGTGCTCAGACAACATGGCCTTGTCTCAGAGCCCATCCTCTTCCATCCCTCCTGTTAGGCAGATATGTTTTCTGGCTCAGACTTCAGACCAGGTGCCCCTTGTCCCAAAACACTCTTTGAGTATCACTTGTCACACAAGGTGGAGTTGTCCAGGTAGAGCTCCTGCTCTTGCAGGGAGCTCTGGTGAGACTTCCTAAAAATAATGCGCATCATTGCGGTCTTTGTAATTCAAGCTGCAACAAGTGCAGAGGACACAGGTGGACAGAAACATTTTTTTAGCCTTCTTTAGTAAGCGCATTATGAAAGATGCAGAGAAAACCAAATTGCCTGCATCAAGACATTGTGGGTTTTTTGAAGGAAAAAACTGAGCTGGTTCCAGTTTGGAAGGTGAAAATCACGTGCTAGAGCACATGTGATTAATGATTTACCCCAGCTATTTAGGAGCTGAAGCCTTTACACAAGTGATAACAGGAAGGAGTTAAAGGGAGTCATGCAAGCTACACTGGGGGTTAATGCTTTGCCTAGGTCAGAGGGGAAAATGATTCACAGTTGTTTAAAGCTGGAATACCGAGTTTGGAAGGAGTATCAAACTTGCTAACTACCATCATTAATTTCTTCCATCTCTAATTTTAAATCAGTTTGTTTTAAAAGCCATCATTAGGTTTTCAATCTCCAAACCTTTCAGTTTCTCTGGAGAGACAAACAGGGAAAGAAACCCCAACTTGTCAGAGCCCATGAGGAAATGATGGGTTTAGTGTGATCATTTCCTTCTAGGAGGTGGGTAAGGAAAGGATTTCCAAGAACAGACTCAAGTCAGTGTGTGCTTTGTGTTCAGCAGTATTGCTGGGGAATTTACACACCTGTCACCCAATTGCCACTTCCTTTGTAAAACAGAAATGACAAGCTCAAGGCACTTACTTTTATTGTGGGGTTGTTTTTTTTTCTTTATAGCAAAGTGCTCTACACCCTTTTGAAAGGAAACAGCAGATTTCCTCCATGCTTTGGGACTCAGCACAGGCTGCAGTTTTCAAGATGTAAGTAGAGTGAGTTTCCTTTGGTATCAGACTGTGCAATGTATTATTAAAATCCAATTTAAACTTCCTAGTCTCAGGTGCCAGATGGCCAAACTATGTTTGCAGTCCTGGAGGAAAGCTAGGATGGGCCTCTCACATGCCTCTGCCATTGTCACATCTATCTAAATAGAAATTTCTAATGTTACTTTGGTTTTTAAATAGTTGGCATGTTGGTCATTGCAGCTTTTGCACATATAAATGCTTTATGTGTCTCCATCACAATGCCCAAACATTCCTGAGATTGTAGAGATCCTGCTTACTTCTTGCAAAACTAAGGTTGTCCTTAACCAAATGGAGGCACCATTAGTGTTTGTAATTAATATTAATTTGTATATTGCACTGGACCTTAATATTTGTATCTTGTTCCACTGCAAATCCATGAGAAAACAGAGGCTCAACATACACAAAGAGAAAACAGCCACTCAACATACACATTTCCAAGGTCTGAACAGCTTGAGATCAAACATGAGGGTTGGGACTGCTTCTTAAACAATAAAAAGAGAGAGAAGTGAAGGAGAGAAATTTCTTACACCTCCAGGGTTCAAAAGGTTTCCCCCAGGAAAGTTTTCATGTTTTTCTCACTGGTGTTTTCCATGTTCCATTATATTTCTCATTGGCTTGTAATTGAAGTTCTTCGAAGATGAGACAAGTTTTGAGCTGTCAGGGAAACAAAGAGTAGATCATTTTATAAGATGTGACTTGGATGGAATTTAGCCCAATGACATCCTGGCTACCAAGGATTACAGCCCCTTCCCCCCCCCCAAAAAAGGCATCCAGATCACAATGGAGCAGGGCACCCTTTCTGGAGAACTGTCCTGTGATTGTCCCTGGGACAAATGGGATGGGGCAGATGCAGCTGAGAGGTGATTTCAGGGAAGGTGGGCATGGCCTCCCAGCCCTGTGACTGGAGCTCCTTCTCTGTGCCCAGCTGTGCTCCTGCCTCCTCTGGGGAGGGATGCTCTGCTGCTTTGGGCCCATAAAGAGCTCACAGGCTCTCCACCACTGAAGGCTCCATTGCCTCTGAGTACTGTCTGCATCTTCCCCAGAGAAAGGGGCCAAAAATTCTGCCCCGTGGGGATGTTTCATGAAGTCTCCTGCAGGTTTTCTCCATTTATTTCTCTCAGGAATAAACCCCCCACAACACAAACTGGATTTCTCATCTGTAGTCAGGGAAAGGCAATCCCCCATGGGAGGGAGAAATGAGGAGAACTGCAATCTTACACGGGGATCATGGTGTGAGGGTTGGGAAGCCCTCAAACTGTTTAGAGGCACAATCTGCCCCTCTCACAGCTAGCTCAGCGTGCCCAGTAGCACACTAATACCACATGGAGGGATTAACTATGAGCAGGCAGGCAACAATAATGGGCTCATTGAAATTCAGAGAGAGCTCTGTTTAAGCACACTGAAATACCCCTTCTCCATTTCGAGCTTCTCTCCCCACTGCAGGAGTAGGTGCCCTGCCTGCATGGCACAGACCAGCGCCCCGTTATGTGCCACTTGTCACCTGCATCACGCCTGCACAGCACGCTGCCACACAAGAGGAGTCACAGAGTGATGTGGGACAATGGTGGGGGAGTTCCCAAGCCATCACGAAGTTGGGGCAGGAAAAGGAGAGCGAGAGAAAGTGTGAAACTGGCAGCAGGTGGCAAACCGGGATGCAATTCCCAGCAGAGACAAGTCTGACGGACAAAGTGTGGAGAGGGGATTTATCCCCTCCTCCTCCTCCCTGCAGGCCCCAGAATAAGTTAAACAAGGCGTCAGATGTTTCTATTTTAAGAATAACCAGGAAGGCTGGCACTACAAAAGGAAAAGGAGGGGAGGGCAGAAGTTGTCTAGTAAAATTAGCAACACGTTTTCCTGCCTGCCTTCCAGAGAGCGTGCCCCCTTCCAGCAAGCCAGGGTCTGCACAGCATAAATTATTGCTGTCTAAATTTGAGCCTGTGCTGCTGCTTCTGCCAAGTGTTTACTCCTGAATGCTATATTTTTTCAGCCGCAGATGACACTGGGTGACATGTGTCATCACAGTACGTGCCCCTGGAAAACAGGCACTGTGAAATTGCTCTGACATTCTCCAAGAAGGGCTGCTCACGTGTGCAGAGACGGGAGTCAGAAGGTCTTGGTGAAGAGACGAGTCTGTCCCAGTGGGGCAAAACCAGACAATGGGCCGGGCAAGATCGCTGCTGCATGTGGCACTGAGTTCGTGGGTCACCACTGAACTCTGCTTGTAAGAAGATAAGAATTCTGGGCTCCTTCTGCTTCAGCTAGCTCTGCACTGCCGCTTCCCCCGTGAATGAGACCTGTGCCCCTCATGGCAGCGAGTAAAGCCACAGCTTCATCATCTGTCACAGGCTCCATAATAACCAGAGGCTGCATCAGGCACGGCACAGTGATTGTGCACCCCTAGCAGCGGCTGCAAGGGTGAAAGAGGTGCTGGATAAATATTTCACAACTATTTTCTTTCTCTCAAAACCATGTTACCATGAATTCTTTCTGGCCACATGTCACCTACCTGCAGCAAGTCCAGAGCTCTTGAAACAGATTGGATGATCCCTTTTTGGTCATATTCAGACTGCTGAAAGCCCAGGTCTGTGCAGTGTGATTGACAAACCAAACACTCAAATAGTCAGTTTTTGTTGTGGCAGGCAATAGAATTTTATGGCTGCGGATGCAGTGGCTGTATTCTGCCATTGAAACAAAGAGCTCTGGGCTTGGCACACTCACATGGTTCCTAATCAGCTTTGGCCTTCACTTACAGGTTTCTGTTCAACCTAAAGCACACAGATTAAAATAAACCACACATTAAAAGAGAAGGCTTTATAACCCCAATTAGGGAAAAATGTTTTATGTTGGTATCTTTAGCCCTGGCATGTCAAGGTTAGAAATGTTCTTGTTTCGTTGCTCTGACAACATATGGCCAAAGTCAACAAGAGGCTGATGTGAGAGTTTGATATATTGCAGCCCAGAATGATCTCATCTTTGGCAGGTCATGGGATCAGAGCATGAAACAGTCAGATATGATCCACATTAGGTACTATGTCTGTGTGAAAATGTACGGGTCTGTCACTGTGATCACGGATAGAAAGCCAAAGCGTGATGAAGGTCAGGCTGTTTGGGCAGCCAAACCTGTGACAGCCCACCCTGTGTGGTGCCACTGGTAGAGGAAAGCCACTTGTTCCCAGATGCCTCTCACTGCCATCAGCATTGCTGTGCTTTGCAGCTCAGGTTCACCCAGCACACCTGTCTGCTCTGAGAGCACACAGCAAATGGAGCAGGACATCTGTGCCAGGGAGCTGGCTTCTGCCATCTCCTGCTATTTTTACATGGTGGCTGTGAAAGCTTCCAAAACGAGACGCATTGCCACAATTAAACCGAGCGCGTTTAATAGCAAACTCCATTGCAAATTGCAGAGTGAAGCCACTTCATATTTCCATGGGGCTTGCTAGAAAAATAGCTCCAATTAATGAGGCACATTGTAGACTTGTTTATATTCAGCTGACTCTGTTTAAGCACCAAATTATCTGTGTGTGATTATGAGGCCAAATTCACCCTATAATTTTTCATTTATCATTATTTTACTGCCTGGCCTGTTCTGCTGAGCTGAGGAGTTACTCATGGAGCAAAATCTCCCTGTCCTCACTCCCAAGCTTCAGGGGACTTTACAGGTGTTGTGCAAAGTCACAACCTCCTGTAAATAGCCACCACTTGGTAGTATCATCTTCCAGGCTCAGAGTCAGCAGGCAGAGGGCTGGGTCACCCTTCTGGCTTGATTGGCTTCTCCCTGGACTCCGTAACCAGAAACTCATCTGGAGTCAACTTGGATTGGTAAAATCAATTTCATAAGCATGAAGCAGCTCTGGGCAGAATGTGGGCTTTGACATTTGGAGGGAAGGGCCTGATTGGCTTTATGACTGGCCCCATGGCATACATGGTGCAGCGCATTCCTGGTATGCCCAGGCCATCCAGGTCCCAGTGCTGTAAGTGAAACCCCTGTGCCATGAAAAGCAGCAGAGGCTACATTTCAGCCCTAATGTGGCAGTGCTGTTCACAGCAACAAGTGGCATTCCCAGTGAGAGAGGCACAGGGAAATTTTTGTGTGCCCTTTGTACAGCCACATGGGAGGAGCTCTGGGCAGAAGCCTGTCCAGCCTTGAGTATTTTGGGGCAATTCAGGCCTTGTGATGATGTTTCACTGCACTTTTTAGAACAGGTCATGGCCCAGCCACTCATTGCCATGGGCATACTGGGATTTCTGTGCAAGCCATGATGGAGCAAGGATGAAGAGAGACAGAACAGCCTTGTATTGCAATTCCAAATTAGGACAATGACTCCTGCCCTTATATAGTGCCTTCACTTGTGCCACACAGGCAGCACCAACCTCAAAGCATCAAGCTTCTCTTTTCCCTCCTCTAAGCTGCTGGAAGGCAGAGCCAGCAGCAAACCCTTCCATGAGAACACCAGCATCCTGTGCTTACCAGAGGGGCCAAGCACAGGGACAGGGACCCTTCATTTCCACAGTTACAATTGCACAGGCTAGATATTAACAGCCTCCCACAACTGTTCTGAAGAGGAAAAGATCACATAAAAGTGCCAACCACAGGCTGCATCTGTGTGATTCCACTTGTTGCTCAGATGCCTTTTATTTTTGGTGCCTGTCCTAGCAAGCAATCCCCCCTATCCTATTTCTACCCCAACCCTTCAGGCACAAACTGCAAGGACGGAGTCAGGCCATGAGTACACACAAGCCTGTACTTATAATCTGAGATGTGAGTGAGGCAGGCTATACTTTCAGTGGTCCCTGGGGCAATCAGGAATTGCCAGTCCAGTCCTGTGGGGCTGGGTCTGCAGGCTTGCACCTCACACAAGGGCTGGGTGGGGACACACGTGGTGGCTTCACTGCCACTGGGCACCCCTCAGCCCCTCCTTGGGCAAGCCTGGGCCTCTCAGCAGGGCTCAGCAGGGGACAGGCAACACTGCCTGGTGCTAACTTCAGGTCAGATCTCGAGTCTTTGCTGTTTTGTCTGTTTTGGTTATAGTGGAACCTCCCACCCCATTTTGTTATACTGGTAAAATCATGTCAGATAACATTCATCATGGTTACTTCCACAGGATTAAAGCATGGGTACTTTTTGTTATTTAAGATTTCCCCCTGTATCACAATTTGTATAGTTTATCCATTTCTCTGCAGCAGTAAAGTAAAACACAGGCAGACATCCACAAGTCATACCAGGAGCAAATTTACTCAGGAGCATTTCTGCAGGCAAAGCACACCCAAGTGCCTCCTTTGTTTTTAAGTAAATGTCCAGAGGCATTTTAATGTGTGGGAAAAAATCCACCTCTTAACCTCTTAGGTTCCACAGATTCTGTCCATTTCTCTCTTGGAGCCATAATCCTTTCCAGTGGCAACTAGTTGGGATGTTACAAATAAAGGATTATACTTTCAGGTGAGGCAGAGCTTCTTATGAGCTTACTGCTTAGCTATTATAGATCCTGTTCTCATGCAGAAATTACACGCACATAAAGACGTGTGCATTATTTAAGATGGAGCAGCAAGACAGCAGATGGATGGGTCTTATGGCTGAGGAAATTCTAATTATTGTTCCTCTCAAGTAGCCATCCAGAGCTGAGGTGGGGGAAATGATGCATGGGGCATTAGATGGTCTCACAGACACACTTCTAAAACACACTATGCAGCAGGGAAGCAGAAGTTATTATCAGGACATGTTTCTCATAGTCAAGTGGCCAATGCTGGATTTAGGTTGATGTTTTGACAGGTTGCAGTTGTTAACCCCACAGTCAGGTTATTCCATTTGCATATTTCTGGCATGTTGCAAGATTTCAGGAAGAAAGTGCACTTACATTTTTAATGTGCATCCTGCTGACACACCACCTTTCCCTGGGAGAGAAGCAGTGCTTGAGGAGGGAAGACTAAGAAAGAAGATAAGTAATTTCACTCACTTGGATAACTCATTGATTTCATGTGCACAAGGTTAAAAAAAAAAGACTTCATTGTTGTAATGTGTTTATTATTTCAGCGAGTAGCAAAATGTCATTCTAAAAATAATACCAATTTACCATGGGAAACCACATCATTTTTATCAGGATAATTGATAAATCAGACCTCTATCTAATGCTTCCACTCATAGAAAATTACAGCCTTGGAGAAGAACATTTATTGCAGAGAAGGAGTGCATAATGAAGAGCTGACAGCCCAGGCTGGAGACTGAGATCCCTTTTCATGGACAAAACAATGTTTTACCAGTGCTAAACTGATTTGGACTGCATGAAAATCAAAGTAACAAGATCTACAGAGCTCAACCTGCCCTACAAGCCAAAGAGTTCCAAGAAGATTGCCCTTTCACCACAATTATCATTGAAACATGTAATATATAACAAAACACAAACTTAGAGGCAGTCTCCAGTGATCTGTTGTTTTCCATCCTCTCTCCCCTGGATAAGAAGGATCTGTCACTGATGCCAGATGAAGCCATTCCTGGCTCTTGTTTTCTTGCATCACCTGGGCAGAAAGCCCC